TATTATACGACCAAATAGTTATAAATTTTCCATCATTTAAAAACATAAAATTCATAGTATTTCACTAAAATAATAATAGTTAGATATAAAAAACAAGGGGTGCTAAATTTTAACTTGGGGGTGCTWAAGACCWTTTTGCACCCCCTTAGTTGCGCCACTAAAMAGCTTTARATATTTTAACAGCTATCTTTTAATATGAGTACTGTACTTTTATTTAAACTTTAAAGTCACTATAAACAGTATCAAGGTGGATTATAAATGTAAATCCTCAATATTGCAAGGTTTTATTTACAGTACAATACTATAATATGTATATTGTATGCATATATATATTATGTGCATATAATATATATAATATGTGACTATTATAAATATTATCTAGACGCATTGATATTAAAAACTGTTTATTGTATGGCTTAAAACCGGTAAAAAGAGACCCGAAAACCGATAACCGCTTTTAGAATTGGAATGCTGGAAGCGATTATTGATTATAGCGGCAATCAAGGTAAATATATAAATATCTATAGGTAGTCAAGATGGATGTTACCAACTACAAGCTTTGGTGCAAAACGTCACTATACTACAAACACAGAACAACGCTACAAGGTGGTGAGATGAGATCAGTTCTTCCCCTGGGAATTAGGGTAAATCTTATAATTTGATTAGAGTATAGTTTTTATGAAAAATATTTTAGATATTATTATTATATAGAAAATATCTTCTTTRTGTCGTGTAGGTAGGTATATAAGTATATAACATAATACGCTATATATTATTTTTTAGACATGATCTTTTCATAGGCCAATGATTCAAGCATGGTAGAAAAGTATAAGCCAGATGATTATTGATTTCACTTTGGATTTAGAATTTAAAATAATACWTGCATACTTAGCGCCCAGTACCTACCTAAACTATAGGTATAATAAAATAAATTATTGGTTTTGCATTAACTAAATAGTTAATTTTAAGAAACAAGGCTGTACATTTTTAGTATGAAAACTTTTTCTATATTGTGAGGTAATGTACATATTACATAATTTATGGCTGTTACTCTTATTTTGTATTCTTGAATGATAAAATAAATATTCATAATATTACTCTTATTTTGTATTCTTGAATGATAAAATAAATATTCATAATATTTAAATCGTTATTTTTTTACCCAACTTTAATAATCATTATTGTTCACACTTTACAATAAATGTTGATTGTTTCGATTGATAAAACGTCTAATGTCGTATCTACTTATTTTTTTTCGATATTAGATTGAGAAATTGTTTATTATTATTTGTATGTATGCTAAATAAACTTATTTCGTTCTTAGATATCGTCTGTGCCCTATAGCAGATCAGCAAGTAATTTCTATCGGAGTCCAGAAGATTAAAWAAATAAATAAATGAGGTTAGGTGAAAAAAAATTTGTCAAATATTAATTTTTTTAGTATAGTAATATGAGCGAAAAAAAATGTTAAGACATTTTGAAGATCCTGCAGCTTCTGGCTTCTGTCTTCCACGGTCCAYCAGTTGCTGATTGTTGCTATATAAAGTGTGGACTATGGTATATACTATATTGTATAATATAATTGATGAATGACAGAAAAAATTAAAGAAATATAAGGATAACACGGTTTGTAGAAAACTGCGATACCTGTCCTAGAAAAAAGGTATATAAAATTACACAGTTGGTGAAGAGATAATAGAGAATAGTTCATCATTAACTATAAATCATTTTTAAGTCGCGGACACCATTATCCCCAAATAATAGCGAATTTAATAATATAAAA